CCGACAGTGCGGCGCTCCCTCAGCACTGACCCTCCGACAGTGCGGCATTATTTGTGACCCTCATTAGTGACTCTTTGACAATGCAGCAGCTCCTCATTAGTGACCCTCCAATGGAGTGGTAATACCTGAGAACAGACCGTCTATTATGCGGCACCTCCTGAGTCCTGATCCTGTGGCAGTGTGGCAGCATCAGCCTCTCGACTTTGTTTAAGTCTCTAGCATCTTCTGACTCAGAGCTAACCCACTGACGTTACATGCATTGAGACTCTGTTTCTACAGCACTTTGTTAATATTGCAATTATTTTTGTTACTTTATGGTCTTCTAGTGAGTGTGCAAGTGAAAGGTGACAACAACAAACACTTTCTGACAATTTAACCTTTTTTAAGATTTGAAGATATGTCACCTTCCACATTGCCATTTGTATAGATTTAGTTTTCAAAATTTGGATTTTATATCACTGTGAAGAAACATTTCCAATAAATGTATTTATTATTTGTGAAAGTTTCATACTGCCAGAATAATGAAATCACAAAGCTTGCTGTTTCGATTTGTGATCAGTGAAAAAAGTGTGATTAACAGCTGCTCAATGAAGAAATCAAAATAAAATATCAATGTAATGTTTATGCATTGGAGATGCAGAGTTTACAAATCCTGAATTCTGACTTGATAAAATCATAATTGGAAACTGGCTGTCTTGTGATTGGAAAAAAAAACAATATTTTCCTTGGGTTTTTCTGTTGATATGAATCCTCATTACCATTGGACTGGAATCATGGGAGTGATGCTGTAGATTAGTTCTGCATGTGAGTGGCTGTAACAGTCTTATTTATGAACAGCTTTAGCTCCTTTCTTGCATAAAATATTTCATACAATATCCAATGATATCTCCAATGGAACAGTATCCTCATAATAAATAATACCTGATGCAATTCAGGTCTAGGGTTGATCATCATCCTGGATGATGTGGAGGTGCTGGTGTTGGACTGGGGTGGACAAGGTCAAAAGTTAAGTTCATCCTGCATCTTCATGCATTTTGTTAAATGTTACTGTGATTAGAATCTTCTGAAGCTTTAATTCATTTGCGCAGATTGAAAAGTATAGCTGGCTGAAATTCCAAGTCCTTGTTTTGGCAGTGAAAACCACGAATGCAGACTGTAAATCTACAGAAATCAAACAAAAGATGGCAAGGTATTTTGTTAATCTCCAATACTGTTTCTCAATGAGGAAAAAAATATAATTAATCAAAAGATCCTGTGGATTTAAATGCTGTTTACAAACTGTTTAAATGCTGTGGACATCAGATAGTGCTGATTACCCAATGAAGTATTTTATGATGTGTAGTTGCTGTTGTAATCTAGGAAACACATTTTATGCTCAGCAAGCTCTCACAAACAGCAATGTGATAAAACACCAGATAATCTGATTTTAGTGATGTTTGTTGCAGGAGGAACATTGACCCCAGAAGAGCAATAAAAACGTGTATTTATAAAGCAACTCTAAACGTAGTAAGAGTCCTAAAGTGCTTCACAGGAGTGCTCTAAAACAGAAATTCACACCAAGTCACATAGACATTATGGTCAGAGGTAGGTATTGAGGAGCCTCTGAAAGATGGAGAAGTTTAGAGAGGGAATTCTAGAGCTCAAGGCCAAGGTCAGTGATGGCATGTCTGCTGCCATTAAAATTGCAGATGTGCAAAAAGCCAGAATTAAGAGAAGTGCAGAGATCTTGAAGGTTGTGAGGCTGGAGGAGAGCAGAGAGATAAGAAAACAGTGAACTTATGGGCAAGAGGAAATTAATAACTTCCCACTCCAAAAGAGAGTGGCCATGGGATCATTCATGTCCACCTGCTATGAATGATTGTGTCTCAATTTAAAGTCTCATCTGAAAGAGGCAGCAGAATATGAGGAGGAAATTACACTGAGCATGTCTAAAAGAAAGGATAAAATTATATTGCAGGGTTGCCCGTGATTCTTGTTTTTTCCCCTACGATGAGGAAGCATGTCTGCAGAATATTCAGGGCTTCTGTTTGTTGCAACATCTGGAAAGTTCTCCCTTGGTCTGTGCTGGCTTTTGGGAAACCCCCTGAAGATTCTCAGACCCAGCTAATCAATTCTAGAACTGAAGATGACCAGAACATTTCGATCTTTGGCTTGGTCATAAAATAAACAGGAAATGCTGGAAATATGCAGCAGATCTGGCTGCATCTATGGAGAGAGAATCAGAGTTAACAATTCAGGGGAAGATAATTGAATATTTACAGCATTTTCTGGTATATTTTAGGTATCGAGCATCTGCAGCACTTTAATTTCATCTTTGTTTCAATGGAGTTTGAGGTTCCCTTGGTGGGGATTGGTGACTCCACAGCAATCTATTGGTTGGTGGTTTTAGTAAAACTGAAACATCCTCTTGATCATTATCTTCTTGCCTGAACCACTCAACATTTAAGCTTTGTTTTATCAGACGGTTTTAAAAAAGAAATGGCTTTGATTGGAAGTGTAAACCTTCCCAGTTTTGGCTGCTGGTCTTCAATTGTCATATGGACAGGTTGTGTGACATTGAAAAGATCATTTTCCTGGGGTCTATGAGAATGAATGCTGAAGTAATTCCACAAAGACCGGTATCCCGTCACCAGGTCACCCTTTATTTACATGTGGAGAGTCTTTGACACTGATCCAACTCCCTCAGAGCCAGCTCAGAGTGAATAGAACCTCAGTCACTCCTGTTTATATCTGTCAGCCAGAGCTCCCTGATTGGACCAGGCTAACAGCCCCAATCATATTCTATAAGATCCACCTGGCTGACCTCGTTCCAATCACTAAAAGTGCCACACACCCGCCATCACCTATTCTCACCTGATTCCACTTGTTCCAATTTTGGTAAATATCTTCACTTTAGCTACTTTCCAGGAGCTGTCAAATCTGACACACTCTAACATAAAACAACATGAGGGGAATATTAAGACAGCTGACAAAATGCTTGGTCAAAGAGTTTGGTGTAAAGGAGATTTGGAAGGGCACAGAAGATTTAGGGAGGAAATTCCAGGTATAAGGATCCAGTCGGCTAAAAAACATGGCTACCAATGGTGGAGCAATAAAAATCAGGGATGCACAGATCTTGGTGGTTTGTGGGGCAATAGAGTGAGGTGTGTGTGTGTGTATATGTAGGCCATGGAGGGACTTAAAACAAAAATGAGATTTTTAGTCTAATGTAAATCAGTGAACACAGTGGGTGATGGGTAAACAGGACACTGCTTGAGTTAGGATATCCAAATCTTACAACATGTATAAAAGGGGAGTCTCAAAAGTCAACACCATCCTGCACCATGAACTGACATCTTCCATTCTGCCAAAATATCAAAATAAAACTTTTAACAAAAGCTCAACCCCATTGTGTTTACCAAGATTCGGGTCTGTCTGCAATCTAACTCCGACATTTCAAACCACCCTCTTTGTTAATGTGAGTATCTTGATCATGATGTGTGATTGGGCCTGAAAACTATCTCACAGCTCAAATCAAGATCCTGCACTTGACCAGAAAGAGCTATTAGCGCAGGAAAGTTTCCCATGGGTGCAATGCTTAGGAGACAAAGAGGGGAAGTAGGAAAAAGGGCTCAAAATCCTGCATCTATACTACAGGTATAGTGTACCTATACTATATGGGACTACTCACCACCACCTTCTTCAGGATGATTGAGGAAGGGTAATAAATACTGTGTCAGTGATGCCTGTTTCTCATGAACAAACAAACATTAATCACCCAACTTCACCCACCTTGCTCAATTAAACATTTTTTCACCCCATCTCTGATATTTTTATAAAGTAGAAAGCAAATTATATACAATTATTTTTAGTGTCCCTTCGATTTTGCTCCCAGTAATATCAGACAGCCCAGACCGTTATGGAAGCCAACCTTCCATCCATGGACTCCATTTACACGGCTCGCTGCTGTGGAAAGGCTGCCAACATCATCAAAGACCCATCACACCCTGGTAATGATCTCCTACAACCTCTTCTGTCAGGCAGAAGATACAGAGGCCTGTACAAACGCATCAGCAGTTTCAGATACAGCTTCATCCTGGCTATCAGACTGTTGAATGGACTCTCTAGCCTCAAATAATGCTGATCTTGCTAATGTTGATCTTGCATCGCGCACACCCTGTGCAATGTGTCCTGTATGCTTCTGTCTAAGTCTTTTTAATCTGTACATCCTTTGCTTACTCTGATCTGCCTGGACTGCTTGCAAACACAGCTTTTCACTTTTTTTCAGTATATATGACAATCAATCAATCAATCAATCAAAGGCTGTCTGATAGTGTTGCCAATTTGCCAAACTAAATTTAAATAACAGGAAATATAATTAGCACATGACAGATTCATCAATTATTGGTGGGCTGTAACTGGAATTAACTCTTTGTGATGGGTACAGGTTGAACAGAATTCACAGCTGGGCCAGAACAAAAACAAATTTTTAACATAAATGTAATTTTACCTTTTTATTTTATGTTTGTCAGTTTTGCATTGTGACAAGTCTGAAACATAAAGTGTTATACATTAAGTTGCAAAGTTGTACACTCACACAGATATACACACACATGCAGACACACAAACCCAATTACACACATGCACACACAGTGGTAGATATACATCCGTATAAATAAGGACATAAAGGACCAAGAAAAAGACATGTCTACACATATGTACTGATATAAATCTGATACAACATTTATTCCACCCATTGCACATTTACTATTTTAATTTGTTTCCAACCCCTTTTGCACTCACTGAAATTTGCCCTGCTTAAATTGGGTATCTTCATCTTAATTATTTATCATCCTTTTTTCGTAACTATTCTTAAACTTAAGGATATTATGATCACTGTTTACCATAGAAGCATACTTCACTTCATTCCCCAAAACTAGATCCACCGGCCCTAAACCCCACCTCTTCCTCCGTTACATTGATGACTGTATCGGCGCCGCCTCGTGCTCCCACGAGGAGCTCGAACAGTTCATACACTTCACTAACACCTTCCACCCCAACCTTAAGTTTACCTGGACCATCTCTAACACCTCTCTCCCCTTCCTGGACCTCTCTGTCTCCATATCGGGCAACCACCTAGAAACCGATATTCATTTCAAGCCCACCGACTCCCACAGCTACCTAGAATACTCCTCCTCCCACCCACCTTCCTGCAAAAATGCTATCCCCTATTCCCAATTCCTTCGCCTCCGCCGCATCTGCTCCCAGGATGAGGCATTCCACTCCCGTACATCTCAGTTGTCCTCGTTTTTCAAGGACCGTAACTTCCCCTCCTCGGTGGTCGAGAACGCCCTCAACCGTGTCTCCCACATCTCCCGCACCTCATCCCTCACACCCCGTCCACGCAATAAGAACCAAAAAAGAATCCCCCTCGTCCTCACGTACCACCCCACCAACCTCCGGATCCAACGCATCATCCTCCGACACTTCCGCCATCTGCAATCCGACCCCACCACCAAAGACATTTTTCCCTCCCCACCCTTATCTGCTTTCCGGAGGGACCACTCTCTCCGTGACTCCCTTGTCCGCTCCACACTCCCCTCCAGCCCCACCACACCCGGCACTTTTCCCTGCAACCGCAGGAAGTGCTACACCTGCCCCCATACCTCCTCCCTCACCCCCATCCCAGGCCCCAAGAAGACTTTCCACATCAAGCAGATGTTCACCTGCACATCTGCCAATGTGGTATACTGCATCCGCTGTACCCGGTGTGGCTTCCTCTACATCGGGGAAACCAAGCGGAGACTCGGGGACCGCTTTGCAGAACACTTACGCTCGGTTCGCAACAAACAACTGCACCTCCCGGTCGCGAACCATTTCAACTCCCCCTCCCATTCCTCAGACGACATGTCCATCCTGGGCCTCCTGCAGTGCCACAACGATGCCACCCGAAGGTTGCAGGAACAGCAACTCATATTCCGCTTGGGAACCCTGCAGCCCAATGGTATCAATGTGGATTTCACAAGTTTCAAAATCTCCCCTCCCCCCACCGCATCCCAAAACCAGTCCAGCTCGTCCCTGCCTCCCTAACCTGTTCTTCCTCCCACCTATCCCCTCCTCCCACCTCAAGCCGCACCTCCATCTCCTACCGACCAACCTCATCCCGCCCCCTTGACCTGTCCGTCCTCCCTGGACTGACCTATCCCCTTCCTAACTCCCTACCTACACTCACCTTTCCTGGCTCCATCCCCGCCTCTTCGACCTGTTTGTTTCCTCTCCACCTATCCTCTCCTCTATCCCTCTTCTATCCGCCTCCCACTCTCTCCCTATTTATTTCAAAACCCCCTTCCCCTCCCCCTTTTCTGATGAAGGGTCTAGGCCCGAAACGTCAGCCTCTCTGCTCCTATGATGCTGCTTGGCCTGCTGTGTTCATCCAGCCCTGCACCTTGTTGTCTCGGATTCTCCAGCATCTGCAGTTCCTACTACCTCACACCATGACTGTGTGGAGCTGTTGCCGGACCCACCTCTCCTCCCCCGGGAGACCAGATTCCAGCCCGGCTCCTCCTGGCCGCTCCGTTCTAGGATCCTCCATGTCCCGTTTCTCACAGATACTGCCATACACCCCGGGCTTTTAGCTGCCGTTCGCCTGTGTGCTCCTCACTCCGATCAGTGCCCACTGAAACTGCCAGCAGTGCCCCTCCTGCCGGGCAGACTGCACTGGGGAGAGGTTTTCCAAAGAGTCACTCACCCCCGGGTCCGGGGACACTCCGACTCTCGCACACACGCAAACTAATACTTCCTTTCGGGGATCTGCTCCAATCTGTTCGCTTCCTCTTCCCTGTATCAGCAACAGGCAATTTTACAAAACTCTGACACCCACCTCAGAGACTACAACACACATTTCAAACACTGCCACTACTAGCGAGGGACTGCCACACTGTCGGAGGGTCAGTGCTGAGGGAGCGCTGCACTGTGGGAGGGTCAGTGCTGAGGGAGTGCCACACTGTCGGAGGGTCAGAGCTGAGGGAGTGGGCACTGTCACAGAGTCACTGCTGAGGGAGCGCCGCAATGTCACAGGGTCAGTGCTGAGGGAGCGCCGCAGTGTCACAGGGTCAGTGCTGAGGGAGCGCCGCACTGTCACACGGTCAGTGCAGAGGGAGTGCCGCACTGTCAGAGGGTTGGTGCAGAGGGAGTGCCGCACTATCAGAGGGTCAGTGCTGAGGGACTGTCACAGGGTCAGTGCTGAGGGAGCGCCGCACTGTCACAGGGTCAGTACTGAGGGAGTGCTGCACTGTCACAGGGTCAGTGCTGAGGGAGCGCCGCACTGTCACAGAGTTAGTGCTGAGGGAGCGCCGCACTGTCACAGGGTCAATGCTGAGGGAGCGCCGCACTGTCGGAGGGTCAGTGCTGAGGGAGCGCTGCACTGTCACAGGGTCAGTGCTGAGGGAGCGCCGCACTGTCACAGGGTCAGTGCTGAGGGAGTGCTGCACTGTCACAGGGTCAGCACTGAGGGAGTGCTGCACTGTCACAGGGTCAGTGCTGAGAGAGCGCCGCACTGTCACAGGGTCAGTGCTGAGGGAGCGCCGCA